AAGGTTCCCAACAGTACAACTGGAGGCCAAATCAGTTCCATCCACAGTAACTATGTTGTGATTCTGACGTGTTTAGGGTCAAACATAATAACCTGAGTTTGATTTGTTTTTAGGAGACGACAAACTTCATCCAGACATTCATGAAGTTTGGTGATTGATTTGCTTCGTTTAGCTTTATAGATAAATATAACTGGGTGTCATAGCGGCAGTGGCGGCTGGTCAATACAGGGGCGGCGCCCCACTACTAATGACCAGATAAAAAGTAGTTCTCAAACACAATATTAAATTTGAATTAATTATAACAAAATAATAATAAAATTAATAATAACGTTCATATTCTTTTGCCATATTAACAACATTTATATTATTTCAGATTCAAAATTAGTGTGTTTACTAATCGTACACTTCCTGGATGCGGGGCGCGGCCACATGAGTGATCATGTGACTTCGGCCCGGGCTCTGATTGGCAACTGCAGACCTTCTCACGGGGCGCAGCTCAGTGCATCCCGGACCCGTCCACTTTTGCTGTAAACCAATTAATTTTGTCTTTATTTGCTTTTGTCTTCTGTGGTTGGATATCATGTCTAACACCATCACACGGCCTGTCCCCTCCTCTTCTTCTAAATGACAGCTACTGTCGTGACAGCTCAATGCATTTGTCATGTCTGTCAAGTTTTTGTTTTGTGTACACATTCTATGTCTCGTCTTTCCTGTTTTATTTTGAATCACTAACTGGTTGTCTCTGTCCTAGATTTACTTCCCGCACCTGTCTTGTCACACCTGCTCCCTGATGGCTTTCCCTCACCTGTTTCCCATCTCCCCTCATTACCTCGTGTATATTACCTTGTGTGTCTCACAGTCTCGCTGCCAGTTCTTTGCACTTCACAGTCTTCGTACCAGCGTTCTTCAAAGCCATAGTCATAGTCTGCTTTGTTACGATCTTGCCTTTCGCCTCTTGCTTTTTGGATACCTCTGCTTGTTTTGACTGACCTCCTGTGTACTGAACCCTGACCGGTAATAAACCTGCCTGAATTTGCCTGAACCCCGTCTATGTCCAGCATTTGTGTCCGCCTGTTCTGATCTGTGTGAGTTCTTGACAGCATTGGCCGTGCTGTCAGTGGAGAAAAGACTGCTCACAGAGGTGGGTGACTTAAACCAGAAAGTAATAGAAGTTTGCTGAGCAGAAAGCGAGAAGAGCCAGTTGTTTTTTTGTTTGTCTCCAAATAGCTCCAGATTGCATTTGCGACCTTCTTTTTGCGAATGTGAACTGATGAGCACCATGAAGCTGTACTAGTGTTGCTGTAACCGGCACAGGAACCACAGTGGTTGAAAGTAGGACTTTAATAGCGTCGGTGTGCTGCGGTATCTGCACTGAAAAATGAGGTCTTCTCATGAAAAACAGAGCACACCTGCATTCACTGTTTTTCCGCTCATAGTAAAGACCTCGGGTAGAATACGTGTAACTGGGTTTAACCTCGGACAAATCTAACATGAGAACGCCCGAGTTTACTCTTTTTAAGGTAATTTTTGGTCAAACACCTGTCTGAGCACACCACAGCAGCTACAGCAGCTACCTCAGCCTGCCATGTGGGGCGTTCAGGGAGCATCAGTAAATCGTCATATGTTTTGCCTTTGACCAGGTTGGAGGTGCAACAAAATGAGAAAGTGGGTCGTACTGGTGCTACCAGTGAAAGAGTTAGTCTGGAGCCCTGAATAGTGTTTTTTTCATTATTACTGTTTTAGTTGTTTTGAGTTTGTACAGATCCTGTAAATATTGATGAAAGTTTAACGAATGGTTTTGAAATTTGGTTCTGGTAAGTCATCCATCCATCCATCATCTATCCACTGCTTAATCCTCACTAGGGTCATGGGGGGCTGGAGTCTATCCCAGCTGACTCAGGGTGAAGGCAGGTTCACCTGGACAGGTCACCAGTCTATCACAGGGCTACACTTAGAGACAGACAACCAAGCACACTCACATTCACACCTACGGACAATTTAGAATCACCAACTAACCTCAACATGTTTCTGGACTGTGTGGGCTGCACGGGGAGAACATGGAGACTCCACGCAGAAAGATCCCGGGTGTCCTCACCGGGACGCGAACCGGCGACCTTCTTGCTGCGAGGCAACGATGCTTCTGGTCAGTCTTGATCATGTTAAATTAGATTATGATTAGAATATCCTCCAAAGGTAGACAATTTACATTCCTGTAAATAGTCGTGCCTGATGTTACTCATATTCTAATTTCTGATTTTAAATAAAAGGTCATTTGCAGACTGCGCCCCACCACCAAACATTTTCACCAGCCGCCACTGCATAGCGGTGAAAGTTTATGCAGTGTTTCCTAATAGTTCTGCAGAAAAGGAGCATCTACAGAGTGAAAAGTGTTGGTTCTTGTACAGGCAGATACTTGTTGAATGAACGAACAAACGGAAATCTATCAGGTAACATGATTTAAACCAGTCTAGTGGGATTCCCTTAATCTCAGAGACATGTTCAGTTGTCAAGTTCCTACTTGTCTTGTTCCATTAAATACCAGCAGTGTTAGAGGAAAACTCATCAGACCTCACTGCTGGAAACATGTCCTGAAGAAATGAAACAACCACCAGTCTGTCCATGAACTTGTGTTTAGGAACAGATGAGACTTTGTGTGACGAGACCATGTGGTCGACTTATCAAGTCACATTCAAATACCAGGCGTGTTGACAAAGCATTGGGGTCTATGGGTCACATTCCCACCATTTCCTGCAGATGTTGTCAGCAGAATACTTCTGAGCATTTAACTGTTTTCTCCCTGAATCCAACCTACTGTCAGTGGGGGAATGGAACTGAGTACATTTACTAAAGTACTTGACTTAAGTATAAATTTACCATACCTGTCTTTTACTGTAGTATTTCCATTTAATGCAGCTTTACACTTCTTCTCCACTGCATCTAAGAGACAAGTTTTGTAGCTTTTGCTCCACTATGTTTGTCTGACTTCTACAATTACAAGTGATTCCTCAGACTGAAGTTTTTACAGCCTTCTTCTGTCTGGGTATGTGGTGATTGTGAATATTGAGGGAACGCTGCTACTTCTTAGTCAAAATGAACAATCTGAAAACCTTCTTGGATCAGCTGGAAAATGTATAAATGGCACAAAACATTCTGAGCTCATGAAAAGTTAACTTTAGAAATCTGTGTTGTTTGTCAGGACAGAGATGCTACAACGAGCTTTTGTTCTGAAATCGTTCTGAGAAATTTCTGTTTTCATCAGCTGGAAGTGTTTTTGGTTCCTACAATGTTAAAGGTAGGATAATGTCTTTTTGAAGACTTTAAAAAATGTTTTGCAATAACATTGTTTGACTATTGTTACCTTTAAAAAGTCCTTTCTTTGTTATCAGGCAACATTGTGAGAATGTTTCACAGAATAACGTTTTATGATGTGTTACCTCAACAACATCCTGAGAATACTGATGGATTGTTGTGAGAACATTTATCTTGAGCTGATTAAACACTGATCTAGACTGAACTATTCCATCCATCTATTATCTATACACCACTTAATCCTCACTAGGGTCATGGGGGGCTGGACTCTATCCCAGCTGACTCAGGGTGAAGGCAGGTTCACCTGGACAGGTCACCAGTCTATCACAGGGCTACACTTAGAGACAGACAACCAAGCACACTCACATTCACACCTACGGACAATTTAGAATCACCAATTAACCTCAACATGTTTTTGGACTGTGTGGGAGGAAGCCGGAGAACCCACGCTGCACGGGGAGAACATGGAGACTCCGGTGCCCCCACCAGGACGCGAACTGGCAACCTTCTAGCTGCGAGGCAACAACTGCAAGGTTGCAGCCCCCTCATAAAAGTGACTTTTAATGTTGTAACTTCCTCTCCTGTTAGTTTAAGGAACACAGTGAAGTGTTTCTGTTGAGTAGTTTATCCTCTTTGACACAAGTGTAGAAGACAAAATAATCAATAAGCTAATGATGATGAATAGATAAGACCTAATTAAGACTGAAGTCAACACTATTGTCATTCATGCGACATTTAGAGGAAGCGGCAACGATGTAGGCTGCTCAGTATCCATTTCACACATTTGTGTCTCACCTTCCTTCAGTTACGACCACATGGGAGGTGTGTTGCCATCGATCTGGTTTCAGTATTCAGTGCTTTTTGCAACTGAGTCACAAAGTGTTGCATCGTTCACCCACATTAACCACTGACAGGTCATAGCCCAACTCCTTTTGTGAAGCATTTCCAAACTTGGTCACTGTTTGGCGACTTCCACATTAAAGGCTGTTTAAACTGACTCATTCATTTCCCATGTGGGAGAGCTGGATGTTTGTTCTCACTTCATTCATCATTCACTGGAAAACAGAAGCTCTATCAGAAAGTCTGATGGAATCACACCAGATGCTTGTAATTCATTTTATACTTTCTGGCTGCAGCTGGATCTTCCAGCTGCCACTGCTCTGCTGGAAGACTTCATGATGAGGAACCTTAAAGACACCAACACACATACAATAAAAAACACATACACACTTATTGATTATAGATTTTTAAATGCAAATTACCAACTTTGTTTGAAATGTTCTGTTGCTGTGTCTGAATAGGAGTCAGTCAGCTGGATGCGTTCTTGCTCTGGAGAAGGTTTTCAGTCCAACATAAGTAGTAAAAGACACCTAGAATGTACACTGACTATAACAAGTGTTCTACCTACTGTTACATTACAGTCACTGAGTCACATTCACTGCACTCACATGATCTCTGTTTCACTAAATGTTTGACTTCCAGCACCGACTGGCTGCACCTGTGTTAAATTATATGAGTAACTTTAAAGGAGAGAAAAACTTACGCATCCAGTTATTTAACTTTTTTTTTTTTGGATAAATTAACATTTACTTTGTAGAAGCCTGTTTTCACTTTGGCATGAAAGAGTTGTTTTGTTTTGTTTTTTTTTCTTTTAAAAAGTCAAATAAATTGACCATGATTCAGCAGGAAAATGAGAAAACTTCCAAGGGGACTTGTGTTTAACTGCCGCTCATCAGCTTCCCCATCAGAGCTGTTCCCCTGTTTACACACCAGACCATAAAAAGAGAAGAACTCTGAAGGTTCTTCCCTGAGAACTGTTGTTCTGACCTTCTCCCATGCTATGTGGTTTAAAATACATTTTATTTATGGCCAGTGAGTGACATCACATGCAGTCATGTGGTTTTGATCACATTTATATGATGA